ACATAACTTTTCCTTTTAAACTTTGACGCGCGGTGATTATTACGCCGCGCTGCGTGATTCATGCGTGTTTTCAACGCTTGCATAACATTGAAGATAAACCTTGCTCGAAACATAGTTTCCACAATACACATGACTCTTGTCTGTACGTTTGTATACGCCCACCGGATAGAAATTATCTTTGGCGCCAGTCCGCAGTTAGATGTGCAATATACGAAAACAATAACATATCCGCTGGACCATGACCCACTCCAATGCAATGTCACGATTTATCGCATTCGATTGACGATGGATATACGACGATGTTGCTTGTACAATCAATAAACTCTCTTAAGAGATTTCGATTTGTCATAATAAACCGTTTAAATAGAATATACGTCCTGAAGAATGCACGTGGGATATAATGGATCTCTTCCAACCTACGCTATCTGCCGCAAAAAGTGTCTTCAAAGAAACAATTATTTGTTTTTCAAGATTGCTTATTGATTAAACAGATCGCATCTCCGAACAGACGAAAATTACGAATTTTTCTTGTTTATAGTATTTTGAAAAAAGAATAATATCATATATTTAAACCTTTTATTTTCTCTTTCCTCGCAATGTTGTACGTTTTTATCATCGATTACACTAGCTTGCGAATTTACACTTTAAGATGATTGCTTGAACGAACGTAAACGGTTCCTGTAGTTTATGTAGGTGCTGAATGCTGTTTACCAAATTGCGTCACAACTTTGAGAAAAATGACGTCAAAGAGACTAAAACAGTAATTTTAAAGGTCTTTTTGACGTTGTAACACCGGCAGCATTTTTTTTTCTAAATGTCGTTAATGCCACGTGGAAGTATCAACTTGTGCAACTTTGAAATATATTTTATTTTACGTTTCAGTGTGATTTTTAATTTTCGAGTTGTAACAATTTGAATATCTCGCTTATTTCCTGGTCAGAGCAGATAAAAATACACTTTACAAAGAGGTAAAATTGATAAAAACAATTTTTTTCGTTGACTCTAATGTAAGTTGCTGATAAACCAGAGGATAAGAAGTTGTATTTCCGCTCCATGTAACTCAGTTTCCTCCTTCACAACGAAGAAAAGAATTTGTCGCTGTTGTGCTAAAAGGTGGGTCGTAATCATTATAGGACAACACGCTGGAATATTTTCCTCGAGAAATTGGTACAGACGGAAATGTAAGTATGAGCTCCACGCTTACATGAAAACCACAATGGTTGGGCGAGAAAAAATGCATTTCGGATGCATACACTTGACCCGGATCCACGAACAATCGTGCATTTCGGATTGTGGGACACGGACGCGGTTTCGCTAAAATGCTCTGTCCTTCAACTTTGATTTTTGCATAACTTTTGCACTTTTTTACACCCCCGAGCCCAAGCTTTTTCTAATGCTCGGCCCGCTTTAATATTGACGTCAAACGCAATGCATAAATTTCGTTTGAAGTCTTATCGTGGGTGCTGCTGTGTTCGACTGGGTTAATAATAACCTAATTTGGAATTCAATCGATGTTAATATTTTATTTAAATGTATAAATATTTCAGAGTTCAAATATATTTCAATATTAAAGCGTCTAGAAACATTGTGATAAAGTCTGATGATCATAATATAAACATATTTTATATTCTATTATTTTGTATTTAATTTTTTTTTTAATTTTAGCGAAATAAAATTTAATTTTAGTGAACAATATTTTTATTTCCTGTATACATATATTTGTGAAACTCTTATTTACTATAAATTGAAACAAAATTGATCCTAGGCTTAAATTTTGGATATTCCCTGACGTACAGTATGGAATACCTACGTGAGACAAAGTTGCATCCGGAGATAAAAATGATATCGAACTGAGAAGGATTAAATTTAATTGCATTTTATATTTTGCGTTTTCAATCCGTTCGGTAAGCGCGCAAACTGAATCGGACGGCACGATCGGCAGTTTCAAAGTCGGTATAATCGATATTTGAAATCGAACAGTGGCATCCTGACACGCGCCGTCCCACATTAATCAACGATGCGTGTGGATACTCTTAATCCGAAAAAAAATGAGCCCCGCATGCGGTAACGAAATCGTAGCTATCGAGTAAACCGCGACCTAAACCATTTAATTAATGCTCATTCCGCGGGGATCAAAGAGAACCCACACCCACACGGAGCAAAGAAATTATTGATTACCACAAGATTAACGTCAACCAAGCCTAAACTCGTTTTTGTACTTGAATATGTTTCTGTAATAACGTTTTTATATTTATATTCGCGTGCCTTTAGGATATTTTTCATTTTCTTTCCATATAAAAACACCGCTAATTCAAACCAATCATTTCATATTTCTCTCCTCTGTTTTGTACATTGAATCGAATGAATACTCATTTGATTTAATATATAAAACAGAAGAGATAAATATGAAGTAAATATTTATCTCCTTTATAAACCAAAATGATATAATTCGTATTAAAAAAAGATGAATATTAAATATATAATTATATAGTTATAAATAATCTAAATAATACTTCAACAGAGAATAATCCACAAATTTAACAAAGGAAATTGAATTTGACATTTTCGACAAAAAAAGTTTATAATTAAATAGATTTAGAATAAACCCATCTATCAACTCCGAAAAGTTAAAGTGCTTCATATAACTAATTATGAGCTTTATATCTTCGCACCTTTTATTCTTGTGGCGATGATAATTTTCAATGTAAAACTTTCTTCACTTATCCCACTTATATATTCACGAGAACGTATACTAGAAATTTGCTACGGAATAATACGACTTTGCTGTAGGTTGCTGCTTTTAACTTCCAGTTATATTCTTTACAAAAGAGCAGTGTGAGATAAAAGCACTTCATCTGCATTTCTCTCCACATCAACAGAATATCTTTTAACTCCGATTGTTACTGCAGGTGCGTGGTCAACAAACTTCTACATCGAGGCCCACTTACATTTGGAAGCTCTCTAATTAGCCTATTAATTGATTCGCTGTGGTAAACCACAGCTCTCTCTAGAATTTCCGGCTCTACTGCTATTTCGGTCAATATGTGGCACTCATTGAAACCGATATAACTTTAATGAGTTCATATTTCAATAATATGGAAATGTAAAAGTGAACCGGATGTGATTGTTTGTAGTAATAAAATAGGAAAATTGAATAAATTGATACAAGAGATTCTATCGAGTCTTTTTAGTCCGAGGAATTGAACTTTATTGATGCTATATATCAATAAGCAAAAAGTGAACCGAGATATTATCACAGTTTTCTGATATCGTCAATTTTTGTGAACGCAAAGGACTAATGCACATAATATCCTTCCTTATTCTTGTGGACGACGTCGATTCTGGTACATTATTATTCGCGTTCAACGTGCGCGGAAGGGATATTTTTAACGTTTATACAGATACTTTATCTCATTATAATTCGCCCACGCGTCCACAGAGCGACTGCGTTAGTTGCTGTAACGATCTCTGCAGCAGTGAAGGCGAACTTCTCTTCCTCATCCGCTTCCTCATCGTCTTGTTCTCCGTGTTCGCTCGTATTCTCCTCTCTCGCGAATTTTTATTCGCTCTTTGGATTACATTTCTGTTATATTTCTTGTATATTATTTTTTCCTTATATGAGTATCGCGCTTATTCTAACACCCACTTGTTCTCGTCACGATTACTCTTTTAACGCATTGAAATATATATCCTGTAAAGGATAACGAGCGTTATTTATTTATAATAAATATATTTACTTCTTCCCCTCTTATTAATAATTTAAATCTAACATAAGATAAATGAAGTTGAATAAATTTTTTAATTAATAGAATTAACGTTATTATGTGTTCGAGGAACATGATAGAAAGAAAGAGAAATATCCTAAGCATTCTTTTCATGTGACTTGAGATCTGAATGCAATTGGTGGGCACTTAGGAACGAGACGGTTCATTTGCATGTCTATAAAGTGGCATACGTGAATACATACATGAATACATACATGAACGCATGGCTACTTACGTAAATTCATGTCGTCGACCTCGCATGACTTCCCGTAACTTAGTTTTATCTTTTTTTCCCTATTGAGTCTGCATCACAATGATGTCGTCGCGTTGCATTTTATTACAAAATATATTCATGAAACAAATAATTATATAAATATTAAAATTTCAAGTTTATTATCTTTGGTAAATGTCTAATTAGTCAAACGCAAAAAATCTAAAAACCGTGCTTATTTAAATATTCGAACTGTCAATGTTGAGCTAAACAAAGACGTATTTTTTTGTATAAGATATATTATATGTATATATATATATACAAATACATATATATTTAATATTACGTAATTATGTATATTTACATATAATTTATGAAAGCATAAATGATACCGTGCCAAAACATGCATATTGAATATATGAAATATGATATAATAGTCATGCACTAATAGCGTTCATAGATTAATCGATGAACGAGCTAAACGATTCAACTGCTGGCGTATCACGGATGAAATACTCCAGCTTGCAGGCGGAAAATAAAGACATTGGCCGCTCATTCGCGAAGACTACCCGCTGCTAAGAAAATCGATAAATCCGCCACGGCGATATCGATACTGATGGCTATCCATGTTTTATCGCCCTGCGGATACGCGATCGTCCGGATCTCAATTATGAATTCCCGTCGTCTTAATCTCAGCGGGGGTGACAGACTTTCCAGGATACCTTCAGTCGTTCCAGCAATTTTTCTGCGAACAACTTTACATATTTCCCGCACGTCTTTTCTCTTATTAATCAATTTCGTGAATATTAAAATTTGTATAGATATTTTTATTTTATATATTATATTAACATATTTTAATTATATATTTTTATTTCAATAGATAAATGTTACTTTAACCGTAATTAAATTATATTGATTTGCAAATTTATACAATACTGAATGCTATTTGATTGATATCGCAAATCTATACAATACTGAATAAATTTTCGAATTAATATTAATTAATCATTCTTGTAATCTTTCAGAAATCGAGGCGCAAGAAGCTTGCAAATGGTTGAGAGCTGCCGGATTTCCACAGTACGCTCAAATGTACGAAGGTAAGTGCCTTAATAAATGTCAGAAAGACAATACTTGGTAGCTTAAGGTCTATTGATCCAAGTCAAAATCCTTTGAAATTGCTCTGAAATTAAATGAGTATATTAAATGGCTAACACAAACTGAAAGGAAGCAATTTCAGATGAAATCTAAATCACTTGGGGCATCCAAGGATTCAAATGTTCTTGGAAGTGGATAATGGGAATTTAAGTGGGAGTGGAGGAAGGGGAGGATAACCTTTTGTTATCCTCCAAGACTCTACTTCCTTGAGGGAGATAAACTACCTAAACCTTCGACAAATTCTAGCTTATTCGAAACTACGACACAGCTACAACGATATTGTCGCACATAAATCCCAGCAAACGTTATCTTAATTGCGTGAGATTATCATCGACATAATTTTCACGATATTTTTCTAAGTACCTACTATCTGCAGCCATTTGTTTAATCTCACGTGGGCTCTTCGCTTTAAAGCAATCGTTGAAATGTGTGTAGCTCTGCTTGTTCTTGAAAAAGAATAGGATTGGAAAAAGCAGCATCATTTTTCAAAACTCTTCGAGGAGAAACAGTTGGAGCAAGGGAATTAGGAAATTGTACAACAAGATTGATAGGCAGTGGTGCTCATGAATCTTGCATTTTTTAAAGAAATAAAATATATCTAATGTAACAGCAATAAGTAGGTTCTGAAAACCATTGGAAACTGACGTGATAAATAATCTTTCTTTAATAGAAATTAATCCTTTGTGGTCCGACGACTCCATTTGAAGTCATCTCTTTTCATTTTGTAAATTATCGCTCGTTTTTTAACTTGGCCTGTGAAGTAATTTAATAATATTTTATTTTGATTTGTAATTAAAAAATTACAGATAATAAATTCTATATGACGGACAAAACTCAATTTTAGGGAATTTTAATCGTGAACTATTATAGCATCGAGTTTTCAATTTCGCTTTATTTGAAGTTCATCAGTGCTATACAAACAGTTAATAGGTATATCTGATTTCCAAATTGGTTTACAAACTCTAATGAGTCTTGTAATACTAGATCGTCCTTCATTGGAGGTTACCTTTTTGCAATTCGATCTTTTTGGGTTATATTCGCACACAAATTCTACGACAAAAACCTAAAACAAAATTCTTTAAAAATAATTTTTTTTTAAGATTCTTTGGTAGAGAGCTCTGATGGTCCTCCAATGATTAATGAGTTCTATCATAAGCAGAGTCGTTGGTAGCTATTTTGCAAGTAAAATATTGCAAAGCAGTTATTCATGCAGCAATATGATATGCTAGTTCTCCAGCGCATCGGTGGTCACGTAGCGCCAGGACATGGCAGAAGGAGGAGCAGTAACGAGCGACACGTGGGCAGACGCGGTGGATCAGGTCGTCGCGCGCAAGAGCCGAGAAAGTAAATTATTAAGGGGGCAGAGCTTGATGCCGTGTGTGCGCCCGGACATGTTAATACGTCTCATAATGCGGGCCCTTTGTCGCGGCGCCTACCAACAATGCGTTCGTTATTGCAGTACCGGTGCACTATTGCCGCCACGTTTGCGCCGCCGATGCCTTCTTCTTGCCATGCTATTAGCGAGGTATTGTTTTACATTTGTAACCAGGGGGGGTCTCACGGAAGAGTTTAATGCCTGATAGTCAGGTCCGATTTTTTTAACCGTTTTTTTTTTTTTTTTTTTTTTTCGGATCAATTTTCTGACCTTCTTCTCAGTCTGACAGACTCAAGTTATATTTTCTTAGATAAAATGGGACTGTTTTATATACACATACATCCTGTTTCGCTCCTGGGGACTCATGGACCACCCATCTTGACATTAGAAGCCTTAGAGAATTTTCGAAAGTTTGAAATACAACACCCTTTGTATTTTTATGTTTTCGAAAGAAGCTCCACTTTCACTCGCTATGATTAATCATGTCGCGAGAGCTTCGTAAAAATGTGTGGCGATCAACAAAAAGAAGATGAAAAAATTTTATCCATCATGATTTACAACGTGTTCTACGTATAGCGTTGAATAAAATATATATCTCAGGGATTTTAATGATTTCATTCCACTGGTGATATCCTGGTGACATAAATCTCGTCTTACATTGTGACGCTTAGCCAGAAGGTAAGATCCGCGTAGATGTAAATCAGTGCGGCTAAGCGAAGTGAAAAATTACGCGGGCCATTAATCATTCGTCCGACGGCGTCCGGGTGAATATTATTCCCGCATTAGCTCTTGAAATTGAAGAAAGACCTGGAATTACTCGCCGTGCCAAGGACGTTAATGACTGTTGAACACGAGGCATTAGTCCTTTCCCTATGTACACGCGGCTTATAATACCTCCGCGCTTGCGGTACGCTCTCCTAGCAGATTTGACGGACTCCGCGTTTGCGTCTGTTACGAAACGTCATAGGATGTGTTATAAAGAAATACGTGCCAACGAAGTACGAGATTTTACATCAACTATCCTCATAATCAAAACAATTTTTTTATTTCTCTAACAACTTATTCTGTTTAAAAGTTATAGAGAACATGCTAGAAAATTTTATCATATCAAACTGTTCTTTATCATAATGTAATATTCTCAAAACATGGAGCAAATTAGCCTGTATACTGGAAAATTTTATTTCACAACTTATTCCTATAGAACGTTTTGGGAGATACTGATAATTAAATTAGATAGAAATGTTTAGTGATTTCGGAAAATAAAATCTATTTAAAATTTTATTTTATTCAATTTTTATATGTTTGCTATATACTTAAACCTGTAAATAAAAATAGAGTGACATGATCCAACGGAAGACGAGATTTAACGTAATTGTAACGTGATCTATTATTTAAATGCAACTGATTGAAATTTTTTAATTCGTTTAATAACTCGATGTCACATATAACTGCAATTTGCAAGTTTAATAAGTTAGCTCCATTATAACTGTAAATTTATGTGCCGCCGGTCACGCCATCGGTACGCAAGCGAGCAAGATACGCGCGTGTTTTCTCGCTGCAGCAAAGAATCGGAGTAGCAACGCGCCTTGCATACGCAAGAAGTGGAAAATAAAATTTCCCGTTGAACGTCGGCGGATCGCGGAGTCCAACTTACAAGTCGCGTCGCATCCAAATGTCAGGTTTGATGGATATCTTTCATGTTCTTGAAATAGTTGAAGTAACATAACGATCGTACAAGGCGTAAGAAATTCTCATTTTCCGTGTTAATCACCTCCAGAGAAATGTGTTATTGGTTCATCACGTGCTATCATTCTTCTAGAAAATTAGAAACGTCATAGGATTTTTCTCTATTCCGCGGAACAGGAAAATAAAACAGAATTCTAAGTTAATTTGAAAAATTAATTATTTATTTTTTTATTTTTTCTCATTAGACTGTATATTACATAACTTTTTGATAAAATGGAAAAATTATGAAAAAATTATAGATTTTTTGCGGCGATTTAGAACCCGAATCAGAAATTATTTTAATACAAAATAATATATTTTTAAAAAATAAGTAAAAGGAAATGAGAAAATTGTCATTTTAACAATAAAATTGTACTGTTAAATATAAACATTAACCTTACTGTTTTATGTATATATAATATTTTTTTAAACGCGCAAAGTACTCAATTTCAGTTACTTTTTGAAGAGACATTGATACATTCTTAATCCTGCAGTTGTTTACAGTGTTACGAAATACATTTTATATTACCGTAAAGAGTTTTGTAAACAATCCTAAAGATACGTTGCGTAACAAAATGTGCGGCGTTAATCGTGCACAAGCGGATTAACGTCGATCGCGTAAACAGTGTCGAGCAGCGGCACTCCCATTTCTATTGTACGAATCGCAGAGAGAGATAGGGACCATTCTGTTTCACGACGATCGTGATTAAACAGATTTACCCGACATACTGTGTGCAGTCACTGCATAAACCACCGCTATAAGCCGCTGCAACACGTTGCAATTCAACGTCACGTAAAATCTGGACGGAAAATTTTACGCCGGATTACGCCGCGTTAATGCTTCGGTTTTTCGTCACAGTTCAATCGGCGATATCCGCATGTTCTGACAGATCTAGTTTACAGACAGAACTTAATCGTGCGAAGCATACGACTAATTTGCGTACAAAAATTTTAGTATAAATTTTTTTCGGACAACTTGTAACAGAAGTTTTGTAATACTTTCGTCACAGGTTATTCCCGCAGAGATGATTGATTTTACGGTATTTGAACTTAAGAAACATATGGATACAAATTCAATATACTGACGGTTAGGTTTTACATATGCATCTGCGAGGAAAAACGGAAATAAGAAACTGTGTAATTTAAGAATAATAAAAAAAGAGATATAAGTAATGATAGGTATAAAACCCATAGATACATGTATATAAATAAAACACATAAATAAAATATACGAAGGTTGGAGCTCATTTTTGCATATCTTTTAATATTATAATTAGAAGAATGTTACAATTATATATATAAGATATAAGTTCTGTCGCTACCAATGTATTTTTATAATTTAGCTCGATCAACGCTAATTATTTTATCTAACAACCACATATTATAAATGCATATAAAAATATAAGTAAAATGCTTATATGAACCTTCGTGGTTATGAGTACGTAAATAATATATTTATAAAATGATAAGATATATATTTGCAAAAAATTTAATTGTATTTTAATTTTTTGTAAATTGTTACATATCGATTTATAAATATATGATTTATGTATTAATTGCGGAAGTTTATATATGCGCATTGTACTTACAGTTAATTTATTTTTCAAAAATTACTTTTATTTTAAAGATATACAAGTTGATTGGTAACATTGGATTTTATATTTGGAAATGCTATACGCGTTAATATTTTTTGCATTCTTTTTTTTTAATAAAATATGTAATTATAGAAACGAAAAATTATTTATATTAAAAAAATTATTATTTTAGTAATAACAATTCCGGATTAATTTTTTTAGTGCATAGCAGATTTAACGTAAAAAATTGTTTGCAGTTTTTAGTATT